AAGTTTGTGTAAGTACACCTCATGATGCTCACACAACAAAATCGCCTAAGGACACATTTTTCGAATGTATCCCTTTCATTGGGTGATGCATGACTGTGTATGGGAAAATGTCGTCTGAATTCCTAACGTCCAGATGACAGAATATAGTTTGCTTCCGTAGTGTCTCAGTAGTGTTCTAGTTATTAAGCTTGCTTAGCAAATAGGAACATACTGATTAATGAAAGGCAAATAATTATGACTGTGTATGGTGGATTTATTTTAATTTAAAAGGCATACCATTTATAATGTATTTGTCCCACTACAAATTATGTGTGTTTCATGTACAGTTGAGTAATGTGAGTGTTAAGGCTACTGCATCCCTCTGACCCCTGTGTTCCTCATATTATCCATGTATAACTTTTGACTTCTGTCACACTGAGCTACTTATATAGCCCACTGTTGACCGGGAGCCTTAACTATAACATTAACACATATTTTCTATGTGTCAATTAACACATATTTTGGATGTTATAATGAACTGAATTCTTGCAACAAAGTAAACTAGGGAAAAGAATGTTATTAAGAAAATCATAAGAGAAATTAGATTTGCTATTCATTCAGTGGAAGTGAGTCATCATAAAGGTCCTTATCCTCATTGTCGCGAACTGAGTAGGTTGAGGAGGAGGAGAAATAGGGGTTGATCTTGCTGTCTCGGGTTGGCAGAGGTGGAAGAAAATCTGTGTGTAAGTGGGCCCCCACAGTCTAAGCCTGTGTGGTTCAAAGGTCATCTGTGCATTATTTGTTCAGGTCAATCTAGTAAGGTAAATGAACTGTAGGTAACCTATAATTTGGACTAAGTTTTTTAAAATAAATTGATTGATCAATGTATAACTATTAATACATTAAGCATGGTAAAACATTTAATATGTTAAACATACATTATATTATAGAAACACATTAAACATGCTTAGCATTAAAAACTGACAAATATTATGATACAAAAAAATTTTTGGAAGGACCTCTTCTTGAGTTTAATCAGATTTTTTTTATTCTTGGTAATTTAAGAACAATTGGTATGTTATATTTCAACAAAATTGATATATGCATAGCTGTGCAGACCACATCTCTGAGGATCTTGTGTTTCCTTATGTATTTCTGAAGAAAGTTTGGATGATAGTGTTAATAATGGTAGTACTATGTTGCTATCAGCAAACACCTATACCCTAAGTGCCAGGGATTGTTCAACGTGCTTTTCAGGAGGTGGCTAGTATCATTATTTATGTTTTTGCAAATGAAGAGACTGAAGCATTGAGATGTTAAGTAGTAACTTGCCCAGGGTGACATGTCACTTTAGCGGTAGAGCTGAGATTCAAACCCAAACAGTGTGGCTTTGGACTGTGGGTCTGTAAAGAACAAGAGGGTGAATAAGTCTGCCATTGTAGTGTGAAAGTAGCCAAAGTCAATATGTAAGTGGATGACTGTGTTTCAATAATACCTTTATTGGTACTGATATTTGAATTTCATGTAATTTTCAGCTGCCACGAAATAGTCTTTTTACGTTAAAAAAAATATGGCTAATCATTCTTACCTCATACATTATAAAAAACTGGCCTTCTTTGGGTCACATTTGGTTTACCAGTCCTGCTCTAAGCTGTTACTTATATTTTGGGGTGCCATTTTGTCCTATTTTTGGATTGTTACTCGGCATCTTATAGAGCTTTCTTTCATGAGTGAGGTTAGAAAAATTGATATCTAAACATTTAGTTGATCATTTACAGTAGTCAGTAAGAAATATAACAGGTTCGTAGCATGAGGATATTTTTCTACATATAATCTAAGTTCTTACCCTAGTGATTTCAGCCTTTTCTTCCTGCATAAATACTTGTTGACTCACTTGAATCATCCCTTAAGGAAGAATTAACCAGACCATGTGTTTTGCCTTTAATTACCCTTATTTTGCATGCATTTTTTTTCCCAATTTTAATATAATTGCCATGGAGTTGGACCTTGTTATTAAGGTGACTGCTAGTGGGGCAGTGCCCAAGTCTCTTTTGTGATGTTGGCTCCCCTCTCTAAGGTGCGTGTAATGCAGACATATCATTCTACATTTTCCTCCATATTTTTTGATTATTTACAAGGTCATGTAAATCTGTATGCCCCATTTATAAACTTACTGTTATAGTACATTTTATTTGTACTAATAATCTGCATCTCTCTCTCCTTCAATACAATTAAGTGCTCTACCAGTCAGTACTATCTACTCAACATTGTGATGCAATCTCACTCCTCTCTATCTAGTGCAAATTTAACTCCTTCATGTGTTGACGTGTTATGATAGAGATATACGCAAAGTCTAATAAAGAATCAGCTAAGGCCGGGCATGGTGGCTCAAGCCTGTAATCCCAGCACTTTGGGAGGCCGAGGTGAGAGGATTTCCTGAGTCTGCAGGTTTGAGACCAGCCTGGGCAACATGGTTAGACATTGCTCTACAATAAATAAAAAAAATTAGCCGGGCGTAATCACATGCCTGTAATTCCAACTACTTGGAAGGCTGAGGCAGAAGGATCGACAGAGCCCAGCAGGTCGCTGCTGGGGTGGCCATGCGTGTGCCATTGCACTCCAGCCTGGGCGATGGAGTGAGACTCTGAGAAGTGGATGGAGACTGTCAAGTTGGAAGGGGAGAGTCCATGCCCTGTCTAAAGGTGGCTGCTCAGCTTATTTTACCATGGAGAAATATGTCTTATGTTATAGGGTTTCCTGTTTTACAAGAGTACAGATAAATTGAAATTTAATCTGAAATGACACAATTTAAAGATGTTGACAATCAGTTAAAATATTTTTGAAATAATTGTCAGTTCAAAACAAGTGTCTCAGCTTAGATGGTCAAAGCAGCAGTTTGTAAAGTCTGCAAGTAGAAGGATCATTTATTTGTTTTAGGAAATGATAATAGCAGCTGTGTTGAGCCTAAATTTTGGGTAACTGGAGTAACAAAAAATGGAGACAGGTTCATTAGATGCTTAAAGATGAAATAGATGTGAATTAGTCCTTTGTTAATAGGGATTGAGAAGATTCCAGCGTTATTTTGATTTTTTTTGTATTGATCAGTGGTAAAATGAATAATTGCAAACGTGCTAATAATGAAGAATAATTCTTCTTTCACCCTTGACCCAATAGTCGTTACTTACCCTGTGCAGAGGTAATTGCCTTTCCTGATGTGTTGGATATCCCTCTGACGGTCTGACAGTGTATAGACCTCATGTATTGGTGTGCGTGTGCCTTCCATCTCCCACTTCACACAAAGATAATGTCATATATCGCTGCATCTTTTCTTAACAACATATCTTGGAATTTTTTCTTTATTCATGTAGCTGTAACTATATTCTCACAATATTTTCATTAATATTAACATTACAGTTCATTGTATGGATGTATTTAATTTACCTAATCCCTAAGGATAGACATTTAGGATATTTCCAGTTTTTTGTGACTACAAACTATTTGTAACGTACATCCTTGTTCACATTGAACCTGTAAACTTATGTGTGTATGTTTTGGAGGATGAAATTTCTGTAAGTGAAACTGCTAGGTTAAATGGTATGTGTGCACTTTAAATTGTGATGACTATTACTATGTTGCCCTTAAAAGAGGTAGCACCATTTACAATTAAGGCCTGTTTTGGTACACACCAAAGCTACACTGAGTACATCAACTTCTTTATTTTTGTAAAGATAAATTACATTTAAAAATGGCTCTTCACCTTTATAATTTTAGCTTAATTGAGTTAAAATAGAACATCTTTTTCTGTTTGAAAAAAAAATTCACTTGCATTTCTTTCCTGTAAAATAGTCTTCTCTTGCAGTTTTCTACTGGGCTGTTGACCTTTTTTCCCCCTAAATTACTTGTGGAAAGTCTTAAATTAAGGAAATGAACAAAGATTCTTTCTTAGTGTATTACTTTGCTTTTTATTGGTTTTCAGGTTTTTGGTGTGTTGATATTTTAAAATTTAAAATAGATTTATAAAATATCAAGTTAATAGGGTATGGTAATTGTGCTATATCTAGAAGTATGTAATTATTGTGGGATATTTAGGTCTTTTATATAATTTTAAAAATTATATTCTCATGGTTATGTTTGCATTTTACATTTTTAGCTGTTTTTAGTGATTCACTTTGATTAACGGCAAAAACATTTATAAAAATGTTTTTGATATTCCTAGTTGAGAGTATCTGCTAAGTGAGTTAATATCTAAGTTTCTGAGGGATTTGTTATTTTTACTACTTTAGGATTACTAAATAATATTAAGTAATTTTATAATTTTCCACGTTCATGATTAGGAAATAGTTCTTACTTCTCCCGTTAATTAAGAACACATAAGTCTTTAGCAACAGTATTTTCCAAATAATTTATTTAAAAAGGAGAAGCCACAGAATGTGAGTAGTCCTGTTGTGAGTGAAATAATCAAGGTACCCAAGAGTTTGAGGAACCATGTAGTTATACTTTAATAGATATAGTTGGCGGTATGCACTATAATATAAATGTTGGCTAAGAGTTTCATTTTGATGCTCTAACTTTCTTATGTTTTTGTGTCAATTTTGTCCATCCCTTATATCCTTATGAAAAAAATTAGATTTGGGGTTTCCTCTGGCATCCCATTGTACTAAGGTGAAGCTAGACGTTGTTCCCAATTTTAGATCATCCTTCCATGTATAGTCACCGTTTCTGTGACCTTGTTTGCTGTTAAATTGTATTGCCCTGTGGTCATTATTAGGCATGAGTAATGAAATTTGTTTCATTCAATAGGTATAGAACTTCAGCATATTTATTTGTATTTTTCTTGAAGATACTTCTTTTAAAATCTTGCTGAAAGTATATTAATTTTAAGTGATCAGTACAGTTTTTTAAAACCACATATTTTAAAATTGGATATTTGACCTTGGATCACTGTTAGTACTTGATAATCTTTTAAACTGGAGCAAAACTCAAAGAAGCAATGAAAGTTATCATTCACTTATTCTTTCTAGGAGTTTCTTTGAGTTGCTGCTGTTCTTTGGAAGAGATGAGTTTTATGAAGAGCCCTTAAAGGATATTCTTGGATCATTCCAGGTAAAACAGTTACTACTTCACATTTTGTCTGCATTTAAAACAGGCCCTTAATCTCCCCCTAAATATAGTTTATTGTTGATTTATTGCTTATAAATTTGTATGGTTGTTAAGGTGACAGTGTTTAAGATCCTATTACACTGGCAGATAAAGAAAACTCTTGAAATATATCTTGAACTGTACTCCAAAGCAGTTCATAGCCCAGATTCCAACTGCACATTTGCCAGACCACGCCTGCTGCCACCACCCTTTCAGAATCCTGCATACATCCTGGGCGATATTCAACTTTCTGTTGCTATAATGTAGAACTTAGCCCTGGAGAAAAAGGATTCGTATTTGTTAGACTAGCAGCAGCCTGTCTCTCCCAAACTGCTTTTCCCTTTGGATGTGCCCTGATTTTTTTCATCTCATACTAGCCTTCCCAAGCTAGGAGACTTTTTTTTTTTTTTTTTTTTTTGCACCTGGTATAGGAAAGAAGAGAGTAAATCCAGATGGGATGACAAAGGGTTCAAGATCTCTCCTATAGTTGAATGAATATTTGATCTTTTTACTACTTCATTGGGAAGCAATGTACTCTAGTACCTGGACCCATTCTTGTTTCCTTGTTTTTATCTCATCTGTACTTCTCTGGGATCCTTTGAGCTCCCCGTAGGGGTAAAGTGTCTCTGACTACCCCACTTAAAACTAAAATATCCAAACACATCTTACATTTATCATTGTGGTGTTAAAAGAAAGCCTTATGGTCAACCAGTATTGCTATATTAGGTACATTATGGTGAAAATTCTACTTTAGTCATTCTTACATCCAGCAAAAAGAGGTAAAAATACCTGTTCTTATAGAGCTTATGTTCAATTAGAGTACATATATTCAAGTATTTAAAACTTCTTAACTTTTAAATTCCATTTTTCCTTTGACACTTGTGTTCTTGGCAATCCATTCTTGAGCTTTTACTCAGCAAATATTGAGTCCCCACAGCGTGCTATGCACTAAGCTCTGGGAAAAACAGTAGTAAGCAAAACAGGAAAACCCTGCTATTGTGGAGTTAATTCTAGTATAGGCACAGAAAGACAATAAATCTAAACTTTATAAATGAAGAATATTTCAGAAAGTGACACATGCCTTAGAAAAAAAGTAGGATGAGGGAAAGAGGATGCTGGCACCGTGATACTGGGGAACGATATTTCAGTATTAAGTGGGGATGTCAGGGAATACCTCATGGAGATTTCAGCTGAACACTGGTAATGGGAAACACTGAAATGTTTGCAGTAGATGAGAGACAGTATTCAACTTCTGTTTTAAATGTATGAAAATGTAACATTTGTGAAGAATTATATCCTTTATTTTTTCTCTTGCAAGCAGGGTGCCCATTCAGTTATCAAAATAATCACTTCCCCAAGGAGGGCTCACGGTTTTGCCTTCTTTTCTGTCTCCTGCTCTAATCTGTTGACTGTCTCTAATCTCTAGGGATTCTAAAGCTCATCTCCTACCGTCCCCTTTTAAAAAATCTCTTAACCATTTCTGCCACTTTTCCTGCTATGGCTTCTTGCTACTCTGAATTTCCATGAGCCTCTAACTCTTGCCTCCTCAGAGAGGCATTTTGCCTTTTGCTCTCATGTTTTCTTTACCTGGGGATTGTCCTTCATTTTCTGAACAAACCTACTGCTGTAAGTGCTTCCCAAGCCTAGGGACCTAGGGAGGACCAACATGTCGTCCACCACAGACATTTCCCTAAAACCTTGTATTTTCTAAGCTGGTGAATTATCCAGGCTTGTGACTGACAATTTGATAATTCATTGGCAACCTTAGTGTCACCTTCTGAAAGATTTTAAATATGTTACTAGTATAAATCCTGTCTCCCAAAGTGGTTCATCTTTGATCACCTTTCATAAGGTATCATATCAATGGAAGATCGTGTTATTTTATCCCATACGTAAGACAAACACAATTTTGCTGCTCATAATTTATTGTACATAAAGGTCACCTGGGGACCTTGTTAACATTTAGATTATGTTCAGTAGCTGTGAGGTGAGGCATTATAGACTGCAGTTCTAACAAGCTCTGAGGTAATAGGGCGGTGCTGGTCCCTCAACAACAGTTTAAGTATTATAATAGTGAGTCTTAGCTGAATTTGTGTTAACTTCTGTTCTCCCCCCGTATTTCAACCCTGAGTTTTCCAGCTTTGCCACTCATACTGTGACATCTTGAGCAAGTTGTGTAATTCCTGTATCAGTTTTCTGATTTGTAAAATGGGACAATAATTGTACTTGCTTCATAGAATCATTTTATGGGTTAAATCAGTATAGTTCTTGGTATCATTCCTGGCCAAGTGATCACATTACTGTTCACAGCAGGCAATGTAGCTTGTCCAGTGAAGGGTGTGGGTTCTCAAGTCCTATTGATTTCGGGTTTTTTTTTCTTTTTTTCTGAGTTTGAGTCTCACTCTGTCACCCTGGCTGGATTGCATGGTACAGTCACAGCTACTGCAGCCTCAACCTGCTGAGCTCAGGCAATCTTTCCGCCTCAGCCTTCTAAGTAGCTAGAACCACAGGCATGCACCACCACATTCAGCTAGTTATTGATTGATTGATTGTAAAAACAGGTTTTGCCAAGTTGCCTAGGCTGGTCTCAACCCCCTGGGCTCAGGCAGTCCTCCCACCTCTGTCTGCCATAGTGCTGGGATTATAGGTGTGAATCATTGTGCCTGGCTTGGTTTTTGTTTTTACATTAAGACCAAAACCAAACTCTTAGGCTTATTCTATTTTCCATGAATTTCTGATCTCCTAAATTCTGAATTGTTCAAGTAGACTTTTTTTTTTTTTTTT